CACAAATTTTTTTCAAGATATAGAGAGCGGAGTCATTTGGGTTTTTTGAACACTGAAAACCTTTCGTTTTTCTTGTTTGATTGAGGAAGACAACACCTAAAGAATAACTACCAAGAACAAAAAAAAAAGGTATTTTCCGCCTCAAGATACCCTGATCCAAGATCAATCTTGGTCCCACACGTTTTTTGACATTTAAAAAACAATGAAATCTGTTCACAATAGGGATTCATTCTTTTTTCAGAAAACCATGAATTGATGTACAGTATGAAATATTGAATTAAAACTGGTCTGCAGGGAGTTTTCCTTATTCTTCAAAAATCTCTCAAGTCAAATTTTAAGAGGTGATTCTTATCTGTTCTGCAAATTGTAAGATTTCTTTCTCAAACTTCCTATTTACTTATCTTATTATTTGCTTATTTACTTTGCCTATTTACTTTTGAATCTTATTTACTTTGCCAGGATTAGAAATAAACTTAGCATGTCTTCACTAACCACTGCAATATTCCAATGATCAAATGACCTTTGGAATCAGTAAACTTCGATCAAAATATTATTTGAAGTTGAATGAATCAATTATTCATGGAGAAAATGGGCTGATTTCTTGAGCATCAAGAGAGATTCAACATAGAAAAAAAATTTGTTTGGGTGTTGGTCAATTCTGAGGCAAATAAAAAATAAAATAAAAGGACAATTCAGAAAATATTGCGAGAACTTCAAAATAAAGAATCACTGGAGCAAGTCAGTCCATCAGAAGAAATCGATTATTTTTTGAAAACCATTGCCTACTATTCCTGAGGAAGCCTCAATTTTTCCATTTGATTTCCCTAGAATTTTTATCAAGTTGAAAAAAATTGAAACTCTAGAGCTCCTAAATTGGTTTTCTAAAAATACACGATTTTATTGGATTTAAAGTACTGCATAGAGCATTTAAAAATGTTAATAATTGATCTGGGGACTAAAATATTAGAAAACTGCGAAACATTTTTTTTAGACTGCAAAAAAAATTGATGTCCAATCATTGAAAGTTGAAGTTCCTGATTGGAATTGTCAACAAAACTTTTCAAAGGACGCAAACTTTTTATAATATCACTGTGTTCGCGTTTTTCATACCAAAAAGAAAAAAAAATAGTTATAAATTTATCCAAGAATTCTTTATAAAAAATATTTTCAAGAGAATTGGAAAAAATAAAAATTATTCCGCGTATAGCTTCAAATTGCAATAATCATTGAAAGGATTTATTTGAGTAAAAAAAATAGTTATAAATTTATCCAAGAATTCTTTATAAAAAATATTTTCAAGAGAATTGGAAAAAATAAAAATTATTCCGCGTATAGCTTCAAATTGCAATAATCATTGAAAGGATTTATTTGAGGGACACTGTATGAGTAAAAGACATCATCCATTTTTGTTACTGCTTCACTTAGTTTATAAGATGTTTCGGATAATGGACCTCCTTCTTGAACCTTATCAGCCCATGAAGAGAAACACCACCGAACTCCAAAAAAAAAAAAAGGTGAAGACACAAGAGCAAAAAGTGATTGACTGCCTCCATCAATGACATGAACCACGCAAAAAAAAAATAACAAACAAATAAATTGAATTTCTTTTCAAAAAGTGCCTCTCGCTAAAAAAAAAGAAAAGAAAGAAAGAAAGGAAGAAAGTTTCAGCTAGTCGTGTGCCGACACCATGACGAACGTTGAATATGAGCACCGTCGCCACCACCACCACTCCCACTCCCACTCCCACCGCCACCGCCGCCACTCCCAGCACCAGAACCGGCGCCACCGCGTCTCGCCGGCGACGCCCTTTCACTCGACGACCTCAGTATCGGCCCGGGCGTCGACACCGTCGAAATTTGCGGCGCCCACGCCACCCGCGGACTGCTCGGCGACGGACTCGACTGATGCGACGAGCCCAGGGTGTCCAGGGACGACGACGCCGTCGTGGACGTCGCCGTGGACGTCGCCGACGACGACGACGCCGTCCCGCCTCTCAAAATCCCGCCTCCTACGTGCCTCTGCTGCTGCTGCTGCTGCTGCTGTGGTACCACTGGTGGTGGTGGTGGTAGTGGTGAGGGTTGTAAAGGGACAGCAGCTGGAGCAGGTGGCGGAGGAGGCGGGACCCAAGACGCAAACGACACCTGAGGAGTGTCGGCCACGTGTTGAAGCAGCAATTGCAGCGTGGACGTGGGCACCAGGGACAGTTGGGGTTGTTGCAGGGGTACCTGTTGAGGCTGGAACGGATGCAGTTGTTGCTGTTGTTGTTGTTGTTGCTGCTGTTGTTGTTGTTGTTGTTGTTGTTGAGGAATGGGTGAAGGTGGGTGGAGCCGGGTGCTGGAGGCGTCCAGTGCCACCGGCATGCTCACGGTCCCCGGGATAACAGGCGTCTGCATGTCCACGGACACTTGCATCTGCAGGACACAAATTTGAATTACTGTACAGTACAGTGAAACCCCAGGATGCGATGACATAATTGGTGCATCAAGAGTGTCCCTAAGTTGAGTCTCATTTTCTCTCAGACTTACAATTACTGTATATAATTTTCAATTGGTGTTTTATGGACAAAATACGCACCATAATTCCGTGAAAATAAAAATTGTCTCCCAATTCAAACTGATTCCAATCAATATATTTCAACACAATATGGACATTTGGGGAATTGAATACCAATACCTCTAGACAGTAAAAAGAAATGTTGGCATTCTCTGTTAAAAAAATATTCAAGCAAAAAGGAGAGAAGGAAGTCCCTCTATGCTGGAGTTAATTTTTTTAAATTAGCTAAATGGATGGTAAATTGGTGAGAGAAATGCCCAAGAACTTGTCATGCATCAATTTTAGGGTTGGAGATGGTTGAATTGCAGGACATCAAATTGCGGTATACCACCTGTACTGCGTGTTGTGCAGTTTTTGTTCAAAGAATAAGGGTGTCAACTAAAAAATAAATGCATTTGCAATGTAGTGTGATGTGCATTTCTTATTTTTATTTTTTTTTTAAATGGATATGTGTTTGTGGCAATAAGGGGTAATGTGGACAAATACTTTGAAACCTTGTGAATGCTGGCAAATGGCAAATGAACCATATTTCTCTATATGTAGCTAAATTATTTCCATGCCAGGGGCAAAGAGTCTCTCAGCTTACAACTTTTTCCGAATAAATATACATCATTATTGAACGCTTTTCAAAACCATATTCAACAAGCTTTACTGATGCAAGACATTGACCAAATCCTGTACTATTTATTCAATGAAAATGAATGCAAAAAATAATAACCTGGGGAAGAGAGCTCAGCATTTGACGAACTTGAGAAGCAGAGGACTCTGCACTGGGTTCCAGTCTGGTCTCTAGTTCCACCAGCTGCAGCACCAAGCTCCTAATGTGCTCCAGCAGCTGCTGATTACTTGACAGCAACTGATGAGTCCGTGCCTTGATGAAAGAAAATAAAAACATTCCATAAATTCAAATGTTCCATAAAGATAACTGTGAAACATGGGATCACACAACAACACAGTTCAAGGACCAATTAGGATACTTTTCTTATTATAAAAAAAATGGAATGTGCCAAGCCCAAGAATGGACATTTTGAGAAAATTTTCCACAGAAGACAAAATACTTTTAATGTATAGGGCATTTTAAATGTGTAAGGTCTGTTGTTAATCTTGTACTTGTGCTCAATATATCAATTGTTTAGGTCATATTTTGTGTATGATGTACTCCTAACAGTTATGAGAAACTTTTACATCTGCTAACACTACTACCCCTGTTTTCATTTTTTTTCTGATTCCTGAACTTGATTATTATTCGAATCTATCACACACTATTTTGACTCAGAATGTTTCCTCCAATGACTATACAACCCAATAAAAAATAAAAACAGGACCAAAAAACACAGAAAATCTATTGCAAAGAGGAACTTCAAAATGTAAAAAAACTGTGGTAAAATCGAAGAAAAAACCAATTATTATCCTCAACTTTGTCACTCTCTCCCAAATCAGCTTCTGACTATACTAAAATATTTGTAACAAAATTTAATAAATTTTTTCCTTCCTTTTGATTTATTGCTTACAAATCATTCTGGAAACGTTGCAATCTTCATTGTTATTGAAACAGTCAACAATGAGGAACTTGAAAAATTATAAAAACTGTGGTAAAATCGGAGAAGAAAAAAAAATGTTATCTTCAACTTCGTCACACTTTCCCAGACCAGTTTCATCAGACTATATTATTTGTAACAAAATTTACTCGATTTTTTTCCTTCCATTTGATTCCTCTTTTACAAATAATTTTGGAAACATTGCAATCTTCATTGTTGTTGTTACTAAAACAGTCAACAAGAAGGAACTTCAAAATTATAAAAATGATAAAAGCTCTGGTAAAATCGAAGAAAAAACCAATTATTATCCTCAACTTTTTCACTCATTCCCAAACCAGTTTCAGACCACAATATTTGTTACAAGATTTACTTGTTTTTTCTTTTTCTTCTTTCGATTCGATTGTCAGATAAACGCTAAAGTCTATTCTGTTTTTTTTTTTCAAAATTCGCCAACTTCTTCAAAATTTTAAAAATGATAAGAACTCTGTTAAAATCGAAGAAAAAACCAATTATTATCCTCAACTTTTTCACTCTCTCCCAAACCAGTTTCAGACCACAAAACTTGTTACAAGATGTACTTGTTTTTTCTTTTTCTTCTTTAGATTCGATTGTCAACTAAACGCTAAAGTCTATTCTGTTTTTTTGTTTAAACATTCGCCAGCTTCTTCAAAATTGTAAAAAAGTTAAAAAAAATACAAACAAACACACACATGGCAGAAAAAGAAAGAATGAAAAAGACCAGGGGAGAAAAAGAAAAGAAAGAAAAGAAGGGGGAAAACGGACTTGTGCCTCCATCCTGGCAGAGGACTCGGCGGCCAATTGCTCCCTGAGCAGGTGGACCTGGGCCATGGCGGCCTGCGTCTGTTGGCTCTGGGCCTCCAGCTGCTCCCTCAGCAACTGGGCCTCGTGATGCGCACTGAGTCTGCCGCCGACCAGCGTCTTCACGGCGTCCGCGTCTCCGGCCACCAACGGCTTGGCCTTCGGAGACGCGTAAATCTCGCCAGTCAACTAAAAAAAAAAATAAAAATGGGAAACAAATTAAAAAACAGAACTAAATTGAAGAAAATTTATTGCAAAATTTGTCTCGGAAAATGTTTTTGTAACGCGTCACGACTGACGAAAAAATAAAAAAATGTCGTCATTTTTGCCGTCAAAAAAATTTGCGAGAAATCGAGAGCAGATAAATATCATCAGAGAATTTTCTACAATAAATTCTCAAAAATAAATAAAAACTGTGTCTAAATCGGAAAAAAATATGGTTATCCACTTATCCACAATCTTGTCACACTCTCCCAAACCAGTTTCAGGCCATACTATTGTATTTTTAACAAGATTTACTTGTATTTTTTTCCTTCTTTCGATTCAAATGTTTAAACGCTTTTTATTTCAGCTCGAGAACGTCAAGGTCATTGATACAAATTCTTATTTCCATATTCATCTGCATTCATCACGTCACAAAATACCGTAATACGCAAGAAATCGAGAGCAGATAAATATCCTCAGATAATTTTCTACAA